CATCAGTTTCACAAGTCACGTTTCTGGTGTGTAAGGCTTTAGTTGTTTCAAACGTCACGCTACTCGTGTGCCGAGCGTATTAAAAGCAATAAATAATGAGATGAAACGCCTTTGGTAACTGTTTATTTCGTAGTGTAAGCCATCAGCTTTTCTAGGTTGTCGGCCACCATATATAGTTCTTGCAGTGTCATTTTCAATTCGAAACTTCACACTATCCTTGGATCCCTAGTTATGTATTTTTGTTACATAATTTATCTACGCCACACTTGGAAAGCAGCCACCATATATATATATATATATATATATATATATATATATATATATATATATATATATATATATATATATATATATATATATATATATATATATATTCCAATGATTCTGTCAACTGATTCAAGTCATACCTAAGCAATAGAAATCAACTTACCGCCCTGGGGCCGGTTGTATAAAAACGTAGTTAGCGCTAACTGCAGTTAAAAAGTAGTTAAAAAGCCTTAAAAAATAGTTAACTTTAATCACGTAGTTAAGCCGGTTGTATAAAAGTGTAGTTAGCCTAACTGCAGTTAAAAAGTAGTTAAAGTTAACTATGCTTTAGGGTATAGTTAACTGTCCAAAACGTAGTTAAAAATGGCGTTTATATAGGAGTGAACAACATTTTTCAGTAAAACAACAATGAAAAGCAACGGTTACCTGAGATTTTCAATCGCTATCTTCCCTGTGAATGTTTCCTGACAATATAAACTCTTCAAACGCTATCGCTTTGGTGTTTTACGAAAACAGAACATATTTTTGCACAGGACGATTTCTCGAAGACGAAGTATGGTCCATTACACCAAGAAACACTGATATATAATTGCCAAACAGCTATACCTTGGTTTAACGTAGACATCTCAAAGAAAAACTGCATTCTTTTATGATTTTTGTGGCGGTTTTTCCTTGTTTTCTTGTTTATTTTTCACTGTTTTCTAGTGTTTTGAATAAAATTCCCGCCTATTTGCAAAATACGAGTCCACAAACATGTTGAAAATGTGTGTCAGCGGTTGTTACTCGCTGCTTACTTTATGTAATTTTGTGTTTAAACGCCCCACGCAAGCCCCACGCACAGTTAACTACGTGATTAGTTAACTATCCGACTAACTACGTTTTGTGCAACGCAGTTAAGTCATCTATAGTTAACTAATTACAGTTAAGGATTTAACTACAGTGATTAACGCTAACTACAGTTCGCGCTAATTACGTTTTTATACAACCGGCCCCTGGAAACTAAACAGAAGTCATTGTGTTATATTTTTGTCTTAGTTTATGTTAATTTGTGCACGGTCACGGTTCATATAATATTTAATAAAGTTAAGACAAACCATTTGTGCAAGGTTAAGTATAGCTCAACATTAAACAAAGATCTTTTATTTTATGAGGTTTGCCGGGTTCCAAACCATCGTAAATTTACAGACTATGCCTTTCTAAAAGAGTACGCGACTAAGATTATTTGAAGCGTTAATTGGGTTTTCTGGAATACAGGTGTTGTTTCTTACCTCCGGCTATCTCATTAGTTCGTTGTGGTGGACTGCAATCAGCTATTACCCTCGGATTGTCACATTGTACATAATCGTCTGCAGGTACCTTTCCATGTTTACAAATGCATATATGTTCCTGCAGGCAATCTCTATACAATTGTTCTTCCATTTCTCTGTGTCCTTGATATGCGAATATATCTTCGGCTGAACCACTTTGAACTCTGAAGAAAAAAAACATGAAACGGCCAATGATCTTATGCTTTTGGCGACAAACTAGCGGACAAGGTTCCAATTTAGCCAACGAGTAAATGCAACTGAGAAACTTCAAGTTAGAAATAAATTTTATTAAATTTCAAATAAATACATAAGTACGTTTCGGGGCACAGCCCCTTCGTCAGAAACGAGATAAGTTCAAATCCATGTCCTTAAATACTTTCGGCCCAATCCTAATTAACATACACTAATAATATATAGACTTGCATTAATATTCCTCCCTCAAATTTAATCCCAGTGGTACATATATATTCAATTTTTCAATCCAAAAACATTCCCTCTCTGTAGGTTTATTAAATATCCGTGATATCGATAATCTGTGCTTTAAAGTCATCAAGACCCGAATGGCCCTCCTCAAAAAAATGTTCATACAAATGTTGACCACAAAGGACATGGATTTGAACTTATCTCGTTTCTGACGAAGGGGCTGTGCCCCGAAACGTAGGCCTATTTATGTATTTATTTGAAATTTAATAAAATTTATTTCTAACTTGAAGTTTTATATAAATAAAGTTTTTTTGGGAGGCTATATATATTGAGTTGTGTAATTGTACACTCCGTAATATGTTAAGGTGAAAATGTTCTCGAGTGTGTATTATATAATTTCCATACCCAGCGTAAGCACACTCGAGAGCATTTTCACCTTAATATGTATAATAATAATAATAATTTATTCATTTAAATAAAGCGCATATGTTATATTATATACTCGAAGCGCTGTACATTATAAAAATCTAAATATATTAAGAATTGAATATGTTATATAAAACATGGTATTGTATACAATTAGAATATACACTAATGTATGTATCTATAATAAGAATGATAGAATCCAATATGGTCTCAACCTATAAAGGGTTATAAGCCTTATTGAAAAGAAATATTTTCAAGCGTTTCTTAAACACAGAAATGTTTTCACAGTTCCTGACATCCAGAGGCAGATAATTCCATAATTGTGGAGCAGCATGTGCGAAAGCCCGATCTCCTAGAGTCTTACAGTTTGTTTTCGGGATGTATAATAGACCTTGACCATCCGATCGTAATGTCCAGCGATCACTTGATTGTTTTGGGATAAGCATTTTGGAGATGTAGATAGGGGCAATGTTATTAAGAGCCTTGTAAACCAGTAAAGCAATTTTGAATTCCACCCGGAATTTTACCGGTAGCCAGTGAAGTGATATCAAAACTGGGGTGATGTGAGAAAATCTTGGACAGTGGTAGATTAGTCTAGCAGCGGCATTAAGAACTCTCTGAATTCGCTGGACTTGATACTGAGGTATGCCAGCCAACAGAGCATTACAATAGTCCACGTGTGATGTCACGAAAGCATGTATCAAAGTTTTCGTTGTATTAGTAGATAAAAATTTTCTAATTTGTCGTATTTTATAAAGTCCTCTGAATGCTTTACTGCATATCTTGCCTACATGAACTGACATTGACATATGCTTGTCAAACCAAGATCCCAAGTTTCGAACACTGTCAACCGGCTTAATTTGGACCCCACCAACGTTAACGGATTCAATGTTTATTTTCAAAAGTTGTTGTGGTGTACCAATTACAAGAAATTCCGTTTTCGAATCTTTGAACATTAATTTATGAGACAACAGCCAAGTACGAACATCAGAAATACAATCTTCCAGTATGGCTAGGGTATTTTCTGAATTATCTTCACAATCTGGGCGAAAGGATACATAAAGTTGCGTGTCATCAGCATATCCATGAGAAGAGGGTAAGTGCCTGTCAATAATGTCATATAGTTGGGATACATAAAGCAGAAAAAGTATGGGGCCAAGACAACTCCCTTGAGGCACTCCGTACTTAACATCACAGTCTTCAGAAAAATTGTTATCCAGATCAACTCTCTGTTTCCTGTTCAATAGATATGATTTTATCCATTCAAGAGCCCTATCCGTCACTCCAAATTGATACTCCAATACGTCAATGATAGTTTTATGATCAATTGTATCGAACGCTGAGCTTAAGTCCAAGAGTACAAGAAAACACACTTCCTGCCTGTCCATACTCAGAAGAATATCGCTTTGCACCTTTAGCAGAGCCGTCTCTGTCGAATGATATTTCCGGAAGCCAGATTGACAGATAGGGAGAGGTGCATGTTTTTCACAATGGTTCAGCAATTGGTTGGCGGCTGCCTTTTCAGTGATCTCAGAAAGAAATGACAGATTGCTCACAGGCCTAAAGTTCTCAAATACTGGGTCCAAGCTAGACTTTTTCAGATTTGGTTTCAGCAGAGCAATTTTCCAGTGATCTGGGACACGACCCTCCTGCAAGGATAAATTTACAATTTTGGTGATAGAGGGAATTAGTTCCAGACAACAGATTTTAACAAGCCATGATGGGATCGGATCAAGCTTGCAGCTGGCACTGGACAATTGCATAATAACATCATGAATATCCTGGGAAGAAAGTTTCTCAAAAGATTCTAATTTGACTTCAGGATTACGGTAATGCACCAACGGAGGATCTACATGGATACTGTCCACATTTTCTCTAATCAATTCAATTTTGCGGAAAAAATATTTGTTGAACCTATTTGCTAATTGACCAAGATCGTCATGAGGTGGTAAGGGATCTTCATGCGGTGCGTCACAAAGGGAGCTCACAATTCTGTAAAGATTATTTGGATCGTTGGAACTATCACTGATAAGGGAAGTATACTAATCAGTTCGGGCTTTATTCGACAAGTAACAATATCGGTTACATATTTTCCGATAGGCAGTCCAATCTACTTCTAATTTTGTTTTCCGCATCTTTCTGTCTAGTCTCCTACGCTTTGCTTTCAATTGTCTTAGTTCGTCATTGTACCAAGGAGTTGAACGCTTAACTTTCATTAGCTTTCTTCGGACAGGAGCATGGGTATTTAAAATACGTGAAAGTACGTCATCATTGCAATGCACGAATTCATCAAGATGTGCAATGTTTTCGCAATGTGAATTCACATTGCTTAGATCAAGTTTAAAGTCAACAATGTTAATCTTTTTCAGTTCACGATAAGAAATTAGCTTTTTGGAGTCATTCGGACGAGGAATAGATAATTTACATTCTACAAAACAATGATCGGACAGAAAGAAAGTACTCTCAATCGAAAGGATATTAATGTCACTTGTAGATCGACTCATCAATAGATCCAGTGTATGATTGGACGAATGTGTTGGAGTACAAACATGTTGTTTGAGGCAATTTTTTTAAAGGATCTCATTAAATTTTATCGTGTTTCTGTTAACCGTATCATCCAAGTGAAAATTAAAGTCCCCGGTAATCAATAGAATTTCTGGACATAGAACAATATCCTCCAAATATTTTGAGAATTCTTCAAAGAATTTTCCAGGTAGAACAGGGTGAGCCGCGCAATAAAGTGGACGATAGATAGCAATAAGTTCAATAGAGTATTCAAGGATGGAAAAATTCCACTCTGAATATTTAAAGGATTGCGTTTCTCCACCACCAGAAAGAGAGACATATAAATTGGTGTTAAACATTACGCCTGTGCCTCCTCCTGATCTGTTAGATTGACGGGAAAATGATTTAAATGAATATCCAGGGAGACAAACGCCTGAAATACTTGTTGTGTCCATGTCCTTCAACCAAGTCACAGTTACAACACAAACATCAATATTTTGATCAACAATATAGTCGGAGAATACAGCTACCTTATTTCTTAGTGATTTAGCGTTAATCGTTGCAAAACGTAACATATCTGGTTTTGGATTTGAGACAAAATTTACACATACTAAGTTCATGTTGACATTAACTTCCCTTGCATGAGTTCTCGGCCTTGTCTTGGCACATAAATTATTTCGGCGAACTGCAATTCTAGTAGGAATTTTGCAAACAAGTTCAATAGACGGAACAGAATTCAAATTATTTTTATTACTTCGCTGCGTTATTACATTGATATTCTTCGGATAGTTAATATCAGCAGTATTGGAACTAATTACGCGTTCGTTAATTCACGGACAAGGACCAGGTGATTTAGCCATTCTGGGGATCGCTGGTGGGATCGAACAATCGAGGGGGGTGGCTTCCGTCCCGGATTTTCCTGAAAAGGACGTTTGAAATCAACAGGAACTTGATGACTGTATTCTAGGGATTCGTTGAGACTGATTAGGGGTAAAAATTCTATGTCTTTAAGAACATTAAAAGTTGATGAACTGACGTTCCTCAAACTGCAGTGGTGACCATCGATAATGGGATATGTGACAACCTTGTTGTCAACTTCATTCATAGTAGCTGACACTGCATGGACTTGAAGTAAGGATTTGAGTTCGGTAATATTTGGCAATTTCCTTGCATTCGAATTACCTTTCATGTGCTGACCGTCGCGAGATTTGGCGCCATTGATCAGGTTATTATTATGGCTTTGTAGTAGGTCGGCTGGGCTGTTATCACTATTTAATATTAACTGATTATCCTTAACTGATAAGTCTTTGTCGACGCGTCTGTTGTTGGAAATGACTAGATTGGAAGTCACGTGCGACTTCTGTGCAAGGTCGGTCAGGGAGTTTTCCTCACCCAAAACTCGATTAAGGACAAGATTGCTTTGTTCTACATGATTGACCGCGCATTGTTTATCGTTCTTTGTGGCAGTGTTGCTAGGGAAAATTTCATTCTGCTTTGAATTGGAGATTTTGGTCTTAATTAGATCTCTCAAGGAGACATTAGTCGCCTCAGTGGCTTTAAGTTTAAATTCAAGAGAGGCAATAATATCGTTCAATTCATTAACTTCACAAGATCTTCCTTTGATTAGAATAGACAGATCAGCTTCCAAGCGCTTGCATTTCTCCCTCTCGCTAGAAAGGTCCTTTTTGAGCCGGCTTACTTCATCTTGGTACCGTTTAGTTTCGCTTGGATTAACTTTATCGATCACATTTGAATATTCAAATATTGTCGAATGTTGAAACCTGTCCCTCTGAATTAATACTTCGGTTATTTTCTTGTATTCATCGAACTGTAGACGAAGGTCTTCGTAACCACTATTTATCTCGTGTAGATTGCTCTCAACTTTGCTTATAGCACTCTTGTTTACTTCTATTTCCCGCTCTGCTATCGTTACATCGAGTTTAATGCCTTCCACCTCGGTTGATAGCTCGCTTAACGGCGCTCGCATAGGAGAGGCGGACCACATATTCCCTTCGCACATATTCCCTTTATTGAAGTCGTTCGCACAGATCATCCTGCAGAGTTTACTCTTAAATTTATCCCGATCATCGCCGTCGATCAGTAAGGCTTTCTTATTTTTTCGCCACGAAATAGACATGTAGCCATCATTAAATAATTTCTTATCGCCTCCTGGACTAACCCATTCGCCGTTTAGATTAAGTTTTTCGCTGACAAACTGTTTCAGTGAGTCGAAATCTCCCATCCAAGCCAGTTGCAATTCCTCAGCCATTATCAGTACGAATTCCTCGACTTATTTACAAGATATAAAGCCAAATCAATCAATAGAATAAAAATAAAGCGGAGCTCCTAAAAGCACGTCCTCATCACCTTAGTACATGTTATATATTCAAAGTATACACAAAGGCATACAGAAAGATCAAAGTATACTATTTGGCATTACAACAAACATCATTTATAAATATAAAGGCTGAGTCAAATGTAAGCCTTTCTATAAAATTAATGTTGTTTTAATTCAAATATTGTCGCAGCAAATTGAAATTTGAAGCCGGAACATGTGCTCAAAATTCACGAATGAAAATAGTAAATATTTCCTTTCAAAATTGCTCTATCTATATATAAAACATAACAAAATTACCTGGATGTTACCCAGTCATCCCTGATGTTTTATCTTTAAAATAAATAACTCTTTCGCTCAATAAAAGCTCTGTATTTGAGCCATTTCGAGCGGAAAGTTTAAACTAAAAAAATTTTAAAATATGGCGGTGTGAATTGTGACGCTATCCCAGAAAGCTTTGCGCGCGTTGTAAGAAAATTAGGCACCAGTCTGTCAAACCGCGCTCGTCGTGACAATTTTTGAGAAGAGACAAAATACCTACCTCCACAAAGTCCACAAAGAGTATAAATATTTTTGTAAATATAATTTCAATGAACTGATGAAAAATTTAAAATTAATTAACTCAAACTGGAAAATTTTGACCAGTTAGATAAATACATTTACCCTTTCTAAATTCTCACAACTTTCTATTTGAATAGGAAATAAATAGCTTTTAAGATCTAATTATTTTGCTATTTATTAGCTATTTTAACAATAGCTCTAAAAATAAAAGTAAACATAGTTTAAAAATAGCTATTTAATAGCCATTTTGAACAAAATTCGCCACAACTTTCAATGAATAGGAATTAAATAGCTATTTAAGATCTATTTATTTTGCTATTTAACAACTATTCTAAGAATGGCTCTAAAAATTCAAAAAATACAAGCAAACATAGTTTAAAAATAACTATTTAATAGCTATTTATCGCTTCCGCGGTAGCAAGCAGTGCATAAAACCTAAACTTTAGCGGCAATTTATCAGCCTGATGAGCTCCGTTTTCTGTGCGAAGGACTGCATGCAAAAGATCAATGACAGTACACCGTTCTGGATAAAATAATAGGGAGCTTTAGATTTGACTACGAGTACGACTACGAGTACGAGATTTGATCGCGTGCGAGGAAGTCACCGTAGTCGTTCTCGTTTCCATTCAAATGTTGCTTTTATAACAGTAAATCAACAACGAGAGAAAAAGTTTCATAAACTAAATCTCCTGCTGACTAAAATCCCCTACAAAACGTGCAAATAAGTCATAACATTAAAAACAGGCCAGATATTTAGTACTAATATACTATTTGCGCCGGATAAACGCTATATAAATGCTACAAATTATTTTTGGAAAGCAAAAAAAGCCAACTTTCTTTGTTTTTTTTGAAAAGTCGTCGTGAGGACTACGAGGTTTCTCCACAATTTCGTACTCAGATGGGCGACGGATACGAC